GTTGCCATATGGCTGACTTCAAAATTGTCTTATAGTGGGTTATCTAGTTTTTTATATGTCGATGTTTGTGTATTTTTATGTATGTAGTATGTAACTATGTTACATATTTTCTTTATTTCATACAATAAACCAACTTTTAAAAATGTTCACTTGGAAATAAAAAAATATATTTTTCATGGAAATGAAATATTTCATGAATTTGTCATGAAATATTTCATGAAATATTTCAAGAAAATAAATTTCATGAAATTTTACAACCCTAGGCATAATATATAGGTATTATTCTGCATACCCATAATAACGTATAACACAGCTGTGTAAAATGGTGAGCGTAAACACGCGACGTCTCCAACTAATTAATTTCCCAACGTGTAGACGAGTCACGCGTCGTACAAGTGTCAACTATACAAGTACAACAATATACTAGTATATAATAAGGTGTGAACATATTACGACTTATACATCGGTACTATATTATTATACGGGACGACTATAACGGTAAAAGATTCCGGTTTCAAAAAAGAAGGGTTGCAAACTTGCAATACTGTTGTACAAAAATCGCATTGAGAACATAATATGTGCTAATTAAATTTTGTATTTGTGGTCAATATGGATTTACCTATAGGTATATTTGATTTTGTTCTTCAACTTGTCGAGCGAATAATATAATATGTCCATAACGTATAAAAAAAATTACATTTAAACTAAAAAAGCAAACCCTTTGTATAGGTATATAATACCCTATTATTAAAAAAAAAATCATATTTTACCTTAGCTAAGAGACCTACTTAGTTTATTTTAAGTCCCTATTGTATGAGATGATTTTTATGAAATAAAACATTGCACTCAGACTTTTCCCGAGGATATACACTCTGACCATTGTGAAGAAACGCCCTTCGATTCAAACATTGGTTGGTGTCCTCTGATCGATATGATAATATGACGTATACAATAACTACCGATAACTGCAATACATGGTATATTATTTAAATCATGTATTTTTATCTAATTCAATTTTATCTTAGTAAATCATACCACAATTAATAATACTGAAAGTGGCGGATTTCAGCCCTTATTTTGGGGTGGGCATGGATGGGGCAAAAGTTCAAAAAGTAGATACATTTGCTACAAAATTGGCTAAACACAGTGTAAAACAAAGGTAAACTACGGCGATTGGGGGGAGGTCAAATGCCCCTTTTGCCCCCCCTGGATCCGCCACTGTAATACTGATGAAACTGTTTTGGACTTGGAAATGGGTAGGTATATTGCTATACAACAATAAATGACACCCAAGTATTGCAGTATATTATATTTGGTGTTGGGTATACATTGTTTATTCAATAAGAATACATAGTATTACATAGTATTTATAATCGATAGAAATACATACTTGCTGTGGTGACACATCCATCCACTACCAGTTTGTTAAGGTTGTGATGCCATTTTTTAAGTTCGGTACACATCCGGCAAAAATTAATTTCCGAAAGAAGAGGAATGAAATACAAACAAATCTGTTTGAACACACACACATACAGTATGTAGGCACTGCTTGTATTATATAATGTGCACTAAGTATACCTGGTTGTGACTGATACAAATATAGCCATGTAGGTATACAATATATGCAATTTACAGAGTGATTCACCAAACACGCTAACCCCCATTTCCCCCTCAATTATGAATTTATTCAAATTATGTTTTTGAAATTTTGAAATAAACTTAAAGACCATATTTTAAAACTCTTTAGATTTTTGTACTACTTAAGAAGTGTCCTGTGGTTATACAAATACAAAAATCGGTTTTTAAAATGAGAACCCTCCGTGCCACCTAATTTAGTATAAATTATTTAGTGGATAACTTTTCTGAACATTTTGTCGTATCAAGTGTTTTTTGAGTTATTTAACTTTGTGTATTGAGGATAATAGGTCCACTATAATGGGTTTGGAAGATATGGTGGCAATGCTAATTAAAATTGTTTAGTAATTTATATTATTCTATCAATATTTATAATTTATAAAAATGTTCAAGTATCATTAATACTAGATCCGATATCACATCAATTTTATACTATTGTAAAACCATTTTTATGGACTTTTATCCTTAATATAAGTATTTTAATAACTGAAAAACTACTCATTTGAATACTTATTGATTTTGAAACGTCAAAATTTTCAGAAAAAATATCCGCCGAATAATTTACAGTAAAAAAATGTGATCTCATTTGAAAAAAACAGAAGATTATATTACTGCAGAAAACTCCTTGAGTATAGTACAAACAATTCAAAAATTTAAAAATATGGTCTTGAATTTTATTCATTATTAAACAAAAACAATGGTGGTGAGCATTCTTTAGGTGAATCAATCTGTATAATACATAACTGTACAAGTATTAAGTAGTAAGTACTAAGTAGTTGACGGTATTTCAACCATGTGAAGTGTTTAATACGTTGTTCACGTTATATATATATATTATATAAATCGATTTAGAATGTGAAATGGAATAAAATATAATATAAATATATGTACTTAAAAATATAATCGCTGTTTTCGGCTTAATGTTTTTTAATGAATTCAAATATTTTAAACGAAAGCCGAGGGTGTTTCGAATGCGTCGATAAAATCAAACAACGTTCGATGAAATTATGTTTTACCTAAATACTATATGTACATACATTTTCTAGACAAAAATTATTAATTTAAGCACTAAAACCTCCGCAAATCGAATATCTTTTGTACGACTCTCAGGAAATGTATGGTGTATTTTTTTTTTATTACAGTGTCCTATTAAAATTTAATTTGAATAACTTTGCATCGAAATACCCGCGCTAGAATAGTCTTACAATTTATTCACTGGTTCATTTTAATGAAATTATATTTGTTCGACGTTACAGTGTAATAGAATTATCAAAAAGGCCTCCCCTACCCCCGGGGATAATATTATTTTTATGACCCTACCTGGAGCATGTTTTCCGGGCTTACGGAAATGCCATCGCGATGCAGCAGACGTAACCAGTTGCTGCTGAACAGACACATAGACGTCATCGTCCAGTAAAACCAACCAGACAGCGTTCGGCCTGCAACGTCGTATAATATATTGTTTTTTGATGACGACCGGAAGAGGTGTTTGGATTATGGGTCTTACAGTCACCGGAAGTGTGGCAGTGAATTACAATATGTCGTGTCGTACACTCCAATAACGTTATCAATACCTGCACGTAATGCGGTACAATTCGGAACGCGATTTCCGGAATCGACGATTCGGAAGTGGCCCAGTCTCTGTACATCAACACGCACGTCACCAGTGCAAACGACCCGTTCAACGTGTAGCGTTTCAACTGAAAACGGAAACCTAATAATGTAAGGAATTACGTTTCCGAATTTCCCCCCACGTGATAGGAATAAATGTACTGCGTTAAATGACACTGCTAAAATGTCAGCAGATATTTAGAGCACCAAATGCCGAAACAGTTACACGGCAGTCTTGTAAAATAATAACGCGCTATTTTCGAGTTGATTCATTAAAAATTGCCTATCACGAACCCCTTAGAAAAATCTTAGTCTTTATCGAAAAATTCGTTATCCAAGACGCTTATAAATTACCGTTTGACAACAGTTCAATCGTAACAATATTGTAATAGTCAAATAGCACCTACCTTAGCTTGTATTGAGTTTCGACGATCCGCGGGAATTAAAAAACCACTCGTACACAACGACTGCATCATAGCGCGCCTGCTGTGTATGCAACTTTATATGCGTTAATGTATACAGAATTGTGTACGAGCGAGTCACGAGGCGTACACCAAAGAATAGTATTATTCTAATTTGTTTTTGTTTGATACAACGACGTATTACAATTTATTTATTATTCATGATATGCATGTACATACGAAAACGTATTATTGTTATTGATTAAAACTAACCTCGTTCCCATGTATGCATTACTAAGTCTAAAAATAATAATTTCAAAAATCAATATTTTCAATCAACTTAACGTCACTTTTATAAAATCCCGATTTTAATTTTTCGGAGAATTAATAATGATTATTGGCATATACAATAATATACTATAAACTATCGTTGTGGAATATTGTCTATGAACTATGATCGCGGGGAAGCACAGTGCCAGTGTTAGGGGAGGACAAATGGGACATATGTCCAGGGCCCCTTGTTAAAAACCCCCTCGATTTTTAATTATCATCTTAATGCCTCGAAACACATTGACATTTTATATTAAAAAATTATAAATATATACATCTATCACCAGTTATTTAGAAAATTATATCCAAATTTAGCCATAGTAGAAAGTAAAACGTTATCGATCCGACGAAGGAGTAATATTTTGTGGATACTCGAGGATTGTAGGAGTATATATACTATAATTAGTAATATAAATACTTATTATCTCTATAGTTATTGATTTCTCTGTTCTTTGTTTGGAAAAGCTTTCCGCGTATTTCGACAATTTCTACATAACATCATCAAAGTAGGTTTTCATTTTATGAAATTATTATTACAATTTAGTTTAGGTACAGTATAGCCGTATTAAATAATATGTATTTTATTGTCTACCGCTGCCGCGTACTTAGATATTAAACAATTTACTATGATTTTGATGATTTTATTTATATTTTATTGATGTTTTTATAAGTTGTAATTATTAAAATAAATATAAATTAATAAAATAATAAGCCCCCCACAAATTTATAAACTTATAATTTTCAACACATATATATTATTTTATTATTTGTAAATAATTTTTTTTTAATATATTATAATAAAAATAAAAAAAAATAAGAATAACCTGATATTATTATTTTAATGTTTAAAATTCAAATAAAAACAGCATTAATTTTAAAAAATCCTGATTTAAAAAAAAGCTAGAATTTTTCCCTCCTCTGAGTACTTTTTACTTATGTCCAGGGCCCCACAATACCTAACACAGACACTGGCGTACTTTAAACTGTAAAATAAATGAAAAATATAGAATAATGCTTGTTGGTTCATTCGTCAAATTTGTCGGCAGTCGGACGATCATAAATTGGGTATTGTTCTTCGATAACTGTCATGTACGATTGAATGATAATCACTAGGTATCCTCCCACTGCCATTACACTCTGTAAAAATATAAAAATGTATTTCATAAAAATGTCATTTCACACTGACATAATTAATTTTAACTAGGTAAACACATTGATATACATTATCACAATATCGTTAGGTTTGATGTAGGTACATAGTTTTGTATTAGTTTTATTTTAATTATTTCTTAACTTCCTTTTACCGTATAGTGTACAACATAAATACATAATATTATGACGCCCCAGTTCAAAACTGTACATGATAGTCTATATCGTATAAACCTGAAAACGTATTTGAATTCGTACTACAGTTTACTTGAAATCAACTCACCCCCTTATTTGAAATTTAACTCCTAAATTTACTTTTTAAATTTTGAATTTTAAAATTTCGAACAAAAAAAATGATTTAAGAAATGAAAGCAAGTCGTTTTTAAATTAACGTTGCTGGAAATTCAAATATTTTTTCAGACATTTTATCGGGTAAATAGGTGAGTTAATACATTTGTCAAAAGATTGGTATTTTTAGAATAATAAAATAGGCAACTATGACTTATTGCATATTAATTGTGTAATGTGTTGTCGAAATGTGTGCTCCTCTATTTCTTTTACACTGCAGCCACAGTGTCACACACACTTAATGATCACTTCGCACACATTTCCATGACACGCACTAAGAAAATTGCAAATATTCAATACTTTAAAAACGATCAGTATCGAATCAATAATAGAACCTTTTTTTATTCATGTTTGAATCGACGAGGGGGGAGGGAACTAAGTTCCTATTGCTTCTCAGAAACAATAAAATCTTTACTCATCTGAGTATTACTAATTATTAATTATTGATATTGTTGTGACATGTTGTCTTGTTTGTCGGTTGTGAATAAAGTTTAACTGTTTTTTTCTGATAATGAAAAAAAAACTCACTGATAAGAAATATTCGTCGTCCAAATAACTTAAGCCATATAAAGAAAATCTTATTTTCTTGTTATCAATCCTTTCCAAGAAACCTTTTATCTGAAAAAAATACTTAACATAATATTGCCAACAATAATATTAATTATTATAATATTATAAATGCGTATTAGCTGATGTTCATTACTATCGATAAAAATATAAAAACATAATAAAATAGGAGCAATAATATTTTACTTGTGCCGTCATTGTATAACCTAATGTATTACTCACTATTCAATAAATCAATCAATATATGATAAAGAGGATGTAACACTGACATTTGTTGTCTCCGTCTTAGTGTCTTACAAGTGCGTAAACTGGCAAATGTAAGCTTAGCAGATCATGTTGAGCTTCGTTAGTTTAAAAATAAGAGTAAATCGACCTATAATGAAACTTAATGGTAAGAAGTAAGAACTTAATCTGTGTTTGTATGTTGGTTTTTACGATGCTTCAATTGTTTAACAAGTTTTGCGTAATATTTAAAATACTTATGAAGTCATAACTCACTTAAAAATTGAATTACTGAAACGTACATACAAACAGAGATCATTTTCTGACCATTCAGTTGTATAATAGGTCACTCTAATTATTTTACAAACGAAGCTAAACTTGAACTTCTGTGGATTTGCTATATATGACGCTCGGAGACAACCAATGCTTGTGTTATCCTAATATCCTAACGACGACGTTTATTAATTTTAAACAAGTCAAACAGTTTGTCTGGTTTCTCTGTAAGTACCTACGTTGTAGGTGTAGATGCAAAATCGCGAGTACGATTACAGTTAATAATCAATTATAGGTATAATTTTTAGGTTTTAAGGGCAGTAGTCTGCTAAATAAACCAAATTCGGTTTTAGTTATTACTGACAACTGATAACGTCGTCCACACGTTGCGTGTATCTACACAAAGGTACGATTAAGTGTCAACTTAAGGGGCCTCACTACCAAGTCTTTTTTTTGTCAAAAACTACTGTTTCTAATTCCAACGATACGTGTCGACAATTATCACGATTTTCATTCTGAAAAGATATTCTGATTGTCCGTAATATATACAAGGGAACGATCGAGCCACATTTTTAATTTTTGTAATTTAAATTGCAATAAAAATTGTAAAAAAATCAAAAAAAAATACAGAATTTCCAACTTAAATATTTAATTAACTAAATACAATTTTAAAAATGTGTCTCGATCGATCCCTCGTACATGTTGTGGAAAATAAGAATATTTTGTCAGAATGAAAATCGAGGTAATCGTTGCGACGTACTGTTGGAATTAGAATCGTATGTTTAAGTGAAAAATAACTAATAAGCATTTTTTCATGATCACAATATTATTATACATTGACATGTGTGTGCGAGTGCGTGCGAGAGCCCTCCGCACCACTACAATTGACCCGCATGGACGCCACACACACTAATAATCATTTACGACTAACACATAGATCTCGGGTGGCGACGACGAGATTAGAAATTGCCTAAATGATTCTCCTTAAATCAATGCCATTGCGAGGCCCCTTAATGGTTATCCATAATATCATTATACTTCTCTGTCCACGGGTCCTGCCTGTTTAGTGCCTAAAGTTGAGGCTTACACTGATTTTGAATACTTTATGGATAAAACAATACTACAATTATGATTTCTAAATTGAAATCGTTACCCTTTTTTTGAGTTTAATGAAAATACAGAATACTACACATTTTAATGATTGTTGTATTCGGACCTCGGTACGACAACATTTTCCAAAATCATATTTCAAAAATGGTAAATACTTAATACTAGTAATTAGTAGAAAAACAGTTATCGATGTATACGTGTACGTTCCTGCATATTACAATAATTGCATTGATTATAAAAACGAGTTACTTATAGCGCTTAGTAGTGACTCAGGTACTGACGTACTGTACTATAAAGTATAAACTATAATAGCATTATTATATTCTGTGATAATAACGTGGTGTACATTGTTGCTGTGTGCCTGTGTAGTATCTCCCCCGGCCACGCTCCACTTTATTTACCTATCTAAACTCTTAATGTTATCAAACTTTGTTTATAAATAGTTGATTATTTGTTCAATGCCCGATATCTATAGGTCAAAATATGTACCTAAAATCTAATAAGTTGTCATTTGACATGTACAAAAAGTAAAAAAAAAAAGTCGGTATCAAACTGTAAAGGAAAGTTTGAATGATTTCATAATGAATAATGACTGAATACCAAAATCAAATTTACGTCAGAAAATGTCTGATAAAACAAACAATCTAATAAACATTAAAATCAAGTTTAAATAATCATTCTGTATATTATATAGATGTAAAATAAACGAATAACGAAAAAATGCATTATGCAAATTGCAGCCTTAAAATTATTATAGTGAGTAACACATATCGGTACCTATTATGCACGTAGCACGTATTGGCACACGTCATGTAATTTATTATTATAATATTATTGGTACTCATTTATTTTTTGTTTTGAATTCACAATTCATTAGGTACCCTATACTTGTTAGTTGTTAATGTATAGTAGGTTGTTGGTATAGTAATAATATAACTATAAATAGAATTAAGAAGCTGTAGCAGTAGCTTAATCAAGCTATAAAAAAATTGTTTCCTTATAAGACCTGCGTGACTACGTCGTACATTTGTAACAATATCAAAAGATTTCGTGAACTATTCATAAAATAATCATTTTGTTATTTGTATTATGGCATGATAGGTTTAAGTATGTTTTGTCTGAGCCATTTTCATGTCTTTTATACATTCAATTTTGTTGTATAATAATAAATTTATGTTTATACGTTATACCCATAATTTGGCTCAATACTATAAAAATAATATGTAATAATAATCATTACGGCACGTATTTATTCTTAATAATCAATAAGTTGTAATATTCATGGTCATTTCTAACGTAGGATGAACTAGTTTTATTTAATATTTCTTATATCCGTTTCGCAGAATTTCCATTAAGAAAGTAATTTTATGTAAAACATAATATGCATATTGATTGTCTACTTAAATGGCTTAGTAATAAGATATTATATTATTTTTTTAGGTTAATCTCGCTGTAGATATTAAAATTAAATTAAGCCGGATACTTTTAAAATACATAAATGAACTTTTATTTCTTTTATAGATGAATGATAGTTTATTTTAATTACACTGTAACTAATAATAACGTTAATACTCAACTCCGTTTTTTTCGTCGTCTGTCAAATGTTTGTGAAACGCAGCGTTGAGAATAGTTTTTGTCCGTCTGGCCTGATGTGTACAACAGTGAATATATGAAACAAAACACACACCGTTCACAAAGTCCGCATAAAATAGGTATGTGTTTTAAGTATAGGTAGGTGTGGATAAATAAAATTATACAATATAAATAAAAATGTGTGAGTACTTACTTCGTTGGACGCAATGGAAGCGGCTTTGCACACGATATATACCCTTATCATGTAGTGCAGCGGCCATATGACCATGGATAATTGTGGTGTGATTTTAAAATTTGAATATGCCATGATGATGCCCAAAACGAATAAATGGGGCAGACTGCTCAGTACGCAAGTGATGATGCTCAAAAGGATCAGCACCTTGTGCAGATATATACAACATGTTATATAAGAACGAAATATTATATCATATAATACACAACAAGTCGTGTATTGAAAATGTCGGTACACACCTGTTGAAAACAATACATAACATAAATCATATAATATTATTATTGTTACTGCATCAGTTATTCAGTTTTTCTGCAGCGATACCGCCAATACCTGATAAACGCCGTTTGTGCGATCGAGGATGGAACAGAGGTCAGTGTGCGCTTGGTTTAACTTCCTGATGTGCTTTGCCATGTTGGTCGGCAGCGTCAACCGGTCTGGCATCGTGAATAAGCCCGGGGGGCGTATCGTCACTGAAATTCTCTCCAAAATTGACTCAAATAGTAGGAGTCTAAAATATTTTTCTACCCATTCAACACGATTTTATACTCACCATGATTTTTTCGGATTCGAAGTCTATCCAGAGATACGTTGAGACACTTATAGCATTTTGCTAACAATGAACACATACACCAGAATTGGATACACAGTGAAATCGCCGCCAGTTTGTGAATAAAATTGTCCTAAATAAAAACATCAAAAAATCAAAATAAATGTAGGAAATCAAAATTGAAAACTTCAGTGTATGCGTATTGTACTATATCGTTATATTTTTCAACGCGTAATCTTATACAAGATTGATAATTGATAAATAATAATATTATATGTATAACTGTATAAGTAGGTAGGTTCTTGGTAAGTTTTAGTAAGCACCTCCCCGGATAGGACCTCTAATTTATTCATTTTTATGAAGCGTATCTTCTTCTCAGAGGTCTAATCTATCTCTGTACCAAATTTCATCTATATCGGTCCAGTCATTTAGGAATGCATAAAGGACACACACACACAAACATTTATTCTTATATATTTAGATGTTTATTATGACCTATTCACAAAAAAATTAGCATCCCTAAATTGGGTAGCGATCCACTTCAGGTTTTGAAATACTGGCCAGTAACCTTAGGTACCCACGATCATGATGAACAGCTTCCAAGCAAACGACAGTCTTATCCTATTGAAACTCGTCGTAACCGATACGATGGACAGAATTGTGTTCATTATGATCATCATGATGGATTCAATGTTAGTGTTGCGTGAAATCATGTTGATGGTGTTCCCGTCTCCTAAAAATCAGTCATATACCATCATTGACAATGTATTAAATGTACACATTAGTTATTAGTACATTACACTGCAGTATATTTAAGTTTTTAAACTTAATTAACGTATTGGTATTAACATACATAACCTAACCTAACAAACCTATAATCGAGCCATGGCACTTGAAAAATGCATTGAAGAGCTCGAAAACGGTTCTCAGTCCTTTTAAATGGAACGGCATCAATATGTGTATTATGATCATAATCGTTTGATTCAACCACAGAGATATTATGAACATAGGTCCCACTACAATCTGTATACGATCGTGAACTGTTATCTAAGATTAAAAATAAATTTGATAATTTATTATATGCTTTATAAGTTATACAAAAACTTAAGTTTTTGGTGAAATTGATGTGAAAGTTCTTGAAGTCAAAAATTAAATAATTTTTATGTGACATCGCTACCACAAAGGGAAACTGTGTCATCTACTCAGCTTTACTACCCTTTGAGGTTAATAAATTAATAAATAATGTTGCTTATGTCTAATTTTACTATATTATTCTATCTGATTTATTTACATTACTCAAAGTTCTATTTCCTTGGTACTTGATTGCATTCCTTAATTCCTGTGTAATGCTTCCGGAAACTAATAGTAGTATGATGTAACTCAACGAAAAAATTAATCCAGGTATACACCACAAACTCTTGTTTTTCTAAATAAAATTGCATAGCTAAATAAATGTTGTTAGTTTTTGTAGTATATAAATAATAATTAAAGTAATGAGTGACGACCAACTATAATCGAAAATATTATTTCTGTATATTTTAATAATTTATTGTAATGAAATTATATAAAATAGATGTAAATATTATGAAATACCATTTCGCTGTCATTCTTTGGTATACGGATGGGCATCCATCCGAACAATATTGAATAGTAATAGGGAACAGAAAAACTCTTGAACACAATGTATGAATTGACTTTCATGTTTGCCGTACAAAATCGAAATGAATTATTATTTTTAGTAATATTATTTGGTAAAGTACCTGCATACAGCAACTACGATTGTGAGTTAGGTATATGTATATTATGGGTATACAGTCACTATATCCATAATATTGTGATTGCCTGTTCTTGTTTTCGCTAATATTAATCTATAAAGACTTAACAATAGTTATTACTTATTAATACGAAAAATGAATTTTTTGGATCAATAAACTTTTGACTTTTTTAATGTTTGTGTGTACAACTGATTACTGTACAATAGTATTGTTAGTAAAAACATATTTTTGACCTTGGTAAAGTGGTACCTATAATATTATGATGTGTATACGGCTTTCTGATAATCATGAATCATGACTTACTAGTAAATGTTATCAAATACCTATGTGTTGTGTTGTGTTGTGTTATTGTGTTAACTGTGTTATTTTTTTATTATTGTGTGCACAGTATTGTAACCTAATCGTTGGACTTTAATAGGTCAAAAGGAAACATAACCTAAACATTTTCAGGTTTTCTTATTAGTTATTAGTAGAAGCCGGAATGGTTTGGAATTGGCACTTTTAGAATATGGGAAACTCATAAGTACTACGCCAATTAAAATAGCTTTTAAGCAATTGTATTTCCATTATTTGTCGAATAACAATAAAAGTAATATCAATTATTCCACATTAAGTTTATATCGATATCATATTAATATATTATGGTCAAATTGAAATGTCGTAGTTAAGATGAGCATGATAGATATATTCGGACACCGCATGTAGGCGGTAACACAGAACAATGTGTCTGTATTTTATACGTGCTATAATACTAATATGTTATGTTGAAAATTTGAATACACACTATAAATAGTATTTTGATATTTTTTATGGCATCAATTGTCAAAAAAAATAATTTAGTTAGAATTATTTGTAATGAATTATGATAATATAAGCAGTCTACGTGGATATGCGACCTGAGGTTAAAACCGTAACTACGCTCTCATTATAATATGTGACTTTATACTTAATTACAAAGCATTAAAATAATATAATATATAGTATATATACCTAGCTAGTTCATAAAATATATTATTTTTCTAATTACTTATTTTTCCAAACAGTCATGTTCTGGATACGTCTCAAAGATCAAAATAACTCAATCCAAATAGGCTCAATGTATATACGGTCGTCTATGGTGATAACTAATTTAACGTAGGTCGTACTGGACGTAGGTCATTATAACAAATATTTGATATTATATATTTACTTCGGTGTGGTGCTAACCACAGCATTTGTGTTGTATAATGTATAGCACGTATCTTACCTTAACTCGGTCCTTCGCGTGACCGTGACGGTATAGTATTCATTATCTGTATTTATTCATTGTACGATTAATCTATTCTGTATTTCTGTGGTACGATTCTCGGATTGTATATTATGTATAATATCGCAGAATATATTAATATTAATAATGTGATAATATATTTTATTAATAATATTATATTATGTGACATGTGTCAATATTCATCGTGCGTATTGTCTAAATAGTAAGTATTGAAATTTAAAATATGTACGATGTACCACGGACTAATACGATTATAATATAAAGGACTGGTATATTTTTATTGAATCGCTATATACCACATTACCACCGTGGCACAATACCACAGGGTAGAAAAAACAAGTCCGGGGGGGGGGGGGGCTCATTACTTGACGTAAATACTAAAATACCTATATGATTATTGACGACATCTAGGTAATTCCATTTTCCTAAACTGTGATAAAAAAAAAAAACCATAAATTATACATGCGAGTATCCGATGAATAATGCGACTGAAACTCCTAAACTTTCTGAATTGTTTTTATTTAAATGTGAAGTATAATATGGTGTTCAATATATTTTTAATTTTACTGTAAATATTTACTGAGTATTGAATGAAATAATAATCTATAATAAATGAATGACAATGTTTGTGTGTGTAAAAGCAATCTAAAATTTAAGTCTATCGCACTCATAGTTCTGAAATTTGGTACATAAGACATCGTATACCTAACGTGCACTCGTGCACATAACCTATTGAAGCCATTTTTTTTAAGAGCGGTCCACACGCAGGTACTTGTTGGATCACGAAAAACGAATATTTATTTGTTTGTGTGGGTTCGCCATTGATTACAGAGTATAAAATGGTCATAAATTATTATTATTTTATATAATTTTAGAGTTTAGATCTATATTTTACATTTGGTCAAAGCCGCCCAAATGACTGTTAAAAATGTTTGTAGTTTATATTATGTTACGGAGTAACAGGGTTAATCCACTGGCATTATTTGATTTGTCAAGGACAACGCCGTTCAGGATCAGCTAGTAGTAATATGTAGTATAATATAATATAATAATATAATATATATATTATATTATAGCAATTGTATATTTATTATTTAAAAAAGACAAATACCGGTTTTGTACACACCTGGTGGTGGTACACTGGAGTACTGTACCATGGTGAAAAATTAAGGTTCTATTCATACATTATTATATAATAATATATGCTATATACCTAAGTGGTATAATGACAGCCTTTTTTTGTAAAGCTTAATTTCAAATATTTTTTTAGTTTAGTTGACAATCGAAAGAAAAAATAAATAACACTATTCTTAAAAGAAATCTTTTAAATGTGTTGTATACAGTTTTGAATATTACAAACTATACTATACTATTGAATTGTATAACTATACAGGTGGTGGGTAGTGGGTACCTATGGTATACAAAGGAAAAGTTAATAAAATTACAATTATTGTCGTATATTAGAATAATATAATGTAACATATTATATTAATATTTAACCGCCATTTTTCCATAGTCTATTACTGCTTGTGGTTTAACAACCACCTGTGCAAGTCATGGCAGGGATGTCAAGTATAGCACTGTACACGTTTAAACAATATTACGATAATGATGAACTTGTACATAATAGCAACGTAATTAGGAGACATATATTATATATTGTATATTGAATGTATAATGTAATACGTATTCGTGTTATGGCCGACGGCCGTGGATATACAATATTATACATTTAAATTAAACCGATTCGCTGGGATTTTGTTTAACTGTAGTTGTACTGCAACACGATCACCAAATACGAAATTACACTGATCACTGCCTGGAAACAGACCATATTATTTTGAAAGCAAACTAGTTGTGAAATGGCTCTGTTATTGTATTTAGCCAACCGCAAAATTGTATCATTATGAATTTTGATTTAAATGTATTGTTTTGTCCATAATTTGCCTTACCGACGATAAAAGCGTCTTGTCCACCGTCACCATACCACAGACGTCAAATTTCACTTTGCAATGTCTCAGACGCCGGGACAATCGTTTCATCTGAAACACGTCTATTATATTAGATCGTAATATATTTTTGTACACTGTCCTAGCCACAGATATAAAATAAATAATAAATAGTATTTTATATCTGTGGTCCTAGCTGAGAAAAAGGCCTATAAGTCGATTAAGCTGACAAACGTGTTGTACCTTGTACGGTTTTGGGGGGATAAACAATAATAATAAATTATGCGATAACAAAAAAACATAATTAACGATTTGGTTGAATAATATTCGCCCCGCGAGCATTTAAAGAGATTGGTATGCATTCGATAAATTTAAAATATGTATATTTCATATTATATTATGTATAATCGTATTACGTACCTCCCAACAGTCACCGTTCACGTCTAACGTTTCCCTCGCGATCTGAACCAAGTCGTGTAGACGGTCGTCCTGCAGTGCAGATAGGACATGATACACATTATTATAAAATCTCTTTATACGGGTTATTATTACTTATTTTAATTTTATACTTAGGTATTGGTTCGAGTTGTAGGCTAAAACACACACACACTAAATGATATACGTGACACACTACATACTCAACCCCAAATTATAAAATATAATCGTATGTACTTAGAGCCAGGGCCAGTAACTTTCAACATAGCCGGTTGAGCAAACTTTTCGAAATGGTAGAATTATTCAAAATATTAACTTTATTTATTTAGTTGTAGGGAACTCAAGCATGCAGTTGGATCTTCTTTGGTTAGAACTTTGAAGAAGTTGAAAAATAGTTTTTAAAGTATATACCAGTTTAATTTAATAATATATAAATATTACCTCGTGGCTATTACCTACTAACAATTATAACACGTGTAGAAAAATATTTCTCACATTATTACGTAACACCAACGACGTATTAAAATATTATTATCGGTTATAGACCCTATCTTCTTTGGTATTCCAATAAACTCAATTTTAAAATAATAAAACAATCACTTTGGATTTAGTTGAAAATAACTGGTTTTTTTTTTAAAAAAAAAATCAACGCCTAGTTTAACTAATACCTGCTTATTATACAGAAAATCAAATTTAAAAATGCTGTTTCTGACTTCTGTGCTTCATTTAACGATAGTTTGATATATTTTATGAGCTGTAATTATTTATGTGCAGTAATAAATAATATCATAAAAGATACTAATTTGAAATTTCCATCAAACGATAAAATATATAATGAAATATAATATTATTGTGCGCGTATGTATGGTTAATAGACACTCAGCCGCGGTACATATTATATTATATAATAATAGATAATATTTAATTGTACCTATACACAATGTATATAGTGTCCATATACTATCTATATACACAATGTATATAGTGTCCATATACTATCACTATACCATATAGTATATATAGACAAATTATAGGCAGTAATATACACTATAAGAGGACCATGTCTATACCAAAGTATACCTGGTCGACGACCGAAGATGCGGCGAAACACACCAGGGCAATTCTACCGGCGCAGTTCACCACCCAGGACAGGTGCACGATGGCCAAGAGAAGAGGTGCCCCCCGAGTCCTATACGCCGAAATCGTGTCGAACAGACCGCATATCGTGTTGAACATGTAACACGACGTATTTATCAGGACGCGTTCCTCGCAAAC